ATTTCAACACGTAACCACTTACAGAGAACTGGCAAATGTTCCACAACATACGAACAAAAGGAATCTGAAGAATGTGTTCGTAGGTTGTGTGAGCATGTTACTTCCCGGTTGCCCTGGCCGTGGATGGGGGATAACCTCGGGGCCCCCACCAGACAGGTGATTTTTCCCGGGGAATTCGCGATCGGAACCTTCGGTTAGCTAGTTTGATCCTCAAGGCAGTGCAGTGGTGTGTGAAAACCACATTCCATTGGAAGACGGTATCCGATTCATCGAATCGTACATCGTTTGAACGGGGTCAAGCATCCAAGGTGACCAGTGTACATCGATACCCACTCAAGCCGATAATCATTGCCACAACCAGGAAGGTGTGGGTGTATTCTTCGTACGCTTCTTGGTTGGTTTGGAATCAGGGTTCTCGACCAACTATCCTGCGTGGACTGCCAATGGTTAACTGACCGGGTTGTCTTTCCGGATGTTGGGTTTTTGTCCTCACTTTGGTTGGAAAGCACCTCTACTAGGGTATACTACTGTGAGTAGGGTCCCCCCAGCAGAGGCTTTTTCAGGGCCCTGGTCGTATAGGTGCGTTTCGCGAGGCGCAAGAGAAAGGTGACCGAAACCCCTATCCCGGACCATATTGCAGCTTTCGCAGTCGAATGTGTAATCTATGTTATTAGAGGTTCGCATTCTTCTCCCTTCCCTTCGATTAGGCACTGTACGATGGTGATGATAATAAAGATGTTAGCGATTAGAACCACTCCGTCCTTATGCCCCCGGGGCACGGAAGAATAAGTGGCGATAGATTGAACAAGGATATTTCTTTACAGTCCGTAAAGCGCTTTTTTGACGGGCTATTTGACATCTGTAACCTAGAGACTCGTTGTACTATTTTAAAAAATCAGTGAGGGCAAATCAAAAGCAGATACAAAGAGCTCCGAGTTTACCGGTAGAAAGTGAGAACAGTGTAAAATTTGGTGCAATTTGATGTTTCTTCATTTGATAAAAGGTTTGCTTGATGATATTCCTTACAGAATAGTTGATCTAGTTATTTGATAAGTACCCTTTTGGGTTTTCTCTCTTTGGTTGGTATAACTGGTTCTCCTCT